TTTCCATTCGTTCTTTCTAATCCACCCACCATTCGATTCCAGTCATGAGGCATGGACGGCCGAATATTTACCAACAGAATCATCAACCCCGTCATCACCACCAACCTCAGGCTCCACCCCAGGCGGGACCACAGTACACGCCGTACCATTACTACGCGCCCGTCGCAACCGTCCTCTCACCTCCCGCGCCCCCGCCCCAGATGGCACCCACCAACATGGGCCCGCAGTACACCCTGTCCCCAAATGCTCAAGAATTCATACCAAGCTCTTTCATGACGATGCGAGATCCCCAGTACATGCCCCTCCACGGAGGGATGCTGCTCGTCGATCCCCAAACGCAGATGCATTCTCCGATGCAAGCCCACCATCAGAGTCATCAGCCTCAGATGCAGTACCACGCCGAGGCCGCGGGTTCCAACTCCGCGGATTCCTATGACGATCCGTACTCGTATTTCAGCAAGTCCTACGACGAAGATGTGAGAATCTTTCGCAATTCTTAAGCAGGGTCTCTCTTGGTCCACTTCGAGGGGCATTCGACACGAGATGACCGGATTGAGATTCCGTAGACAAACGTTCTGGATGCCTCCCTCCCGCTCGACTCAGTGATTGCTTCTCTTCCTAGGACGATGCTTTGCTGCAAACGCAGATGTTCATAACTGATGTCACGCTCTCACCAGAGTTGTACACAGCGAAGGCGAACGATCTCCTCAAAATCATATTCGAAGACATCTGCGAGCGCAAGAACCCGCCAACGGCGGTTGTTGCGACCATATTCCAGGTATGTGCTCGGCATTCGTCCCGATAGATACCCCGGAGTGATGGACTCCCATTTTGATCTAGCTAAGACAATTACAGTAGAACCTCGTCGTGACGGACTCGGAGGTGCCGGCCGAAACGGTCTGTTTCATCCGATGATGGGTTCTTAATCGTAATAGAAGGTGCAGCTCACCGGAAAACCGTTTCAGCCTCGCTTTCGAGGCGTATAAGAACGAGAAACCTTGCAAATCCTCTACAGTAAAAGCTCGTCACTACGAACACGGAGGGACCGACGAAACTGGTTCGTTGTACCGAGTTTTCGCTGTAACGAATGCCGCTCAACACTATCCCTATGGCGAGCTGGCCAAAGGAGGAGAAACTCCTTGTTCGTTGTACCGAGAAATTCGTTGTAATGGGGGTCGTTATAACGAGCTTTTGCTGTAATAAGGTGCCGCTTCCGAATTTTCAACTATAGAGAATAGGTCTGTTATGACCGGTTCGATTCGCATGGGAAGAGATGGGACCGAAGCTGGAATAAAAAACAGTCTGTTGCGTCCGAAACTCCATTATTGGCTCCGCTCTTGTCGAGCCAGTCGACATCGAGGATCCCGTGGGCTCCTCTGGTACCGAGCAATCGTTCCTTCGTAACCGAGTGTCTGTATTATCCGGGTCCGTCGTAATCGAGTGTCCGTTTTGACGGACTGAGACGAACCGTGAAGAATGGTCCGTTATTGCCCGGTGTCCGTTTCGTCCGAGCAGATTGACGTGGGAGGTACTTAGACCGGGGGTCGCGCCGTTAGTGCGTCGTAACCGGGTGTCCCTTATACCCCCGGGTCTGTCATAGCGTTCTACTGTATTCCGCTCAATAGGGTCTGAATTATCATCGATCGGCTACACTGAGTGAGAAGCTAAAAGATTTTGTCTCGCAGGCGGGTGTTCTACAACAAAACTTCCGCTATTCGGGTGCGCGCCTGTGCAACGTCGCCGCATCGGTCGTAATCACGATGGATGGCCAGGCTGCATTCCGAGATTGCCTAATCGAACAGTGAGTTCCGAACCATTCAAGCTCAACGGATAAAGTCCGCTATATTCGAGGAGGCTGATATCAGCCATTCCTCGGACACTCAGTATTTCGGGCGTCCATTCAGACCGATCTTCAATTTCCAGCATGTACGAGAGCTTAGCGAAGGTCAAGCCCGTTGTCGGTGACAAGGAGCAAGACAAAGAGACCCGTGGAACAGTGCTATTCTGCGCAGAGCTGTTCTTCCAATTGGATCTCGGCTATAGACTCGATACCTCGGAGACGCACCCGGACATGGGCGTTTTCCTGTGCCGCACCATCAAACAGTTGATCTTATGTAACGAGAAAGAGAACCAGAAGAGTGGGATTCAGGTGAGTCGGTCGATGGTTCACATCCCTTTATCCGTGTATCGGCTCCGCTTTCGGGACGGAAAATCAAATTCCATGCGTGCGGCTCGACCGGAGACATTTTCTATCGTTGAGATCCGATATTTCCCGTTTAGGCTCTGAAGCTCTGCGGTGCCAACCTGGAAAAGCTGTGCGGGAACACCGACGCGATGGACGATCTGATGATGCAGTGCAAGACTCTCGAGGAACAAGAAGGCGTGAATTCGACCATTCAGTTCATGCTGGCGAGACTCCCACAACTCCGTAAAACAAACTGGAATCGCGTGGAGGAAGTTCGTGATCAAGCTCCCTGTGTGGGTCCTGATGACTACACCCAAATGCCAGTCATGTACGGCCCGGATGGTCAACCGATGAGCGAAGAGGAGCTGGGCTTCTTGAACGGCTCCAACCAGATTCCCCCCGCGGAATTCGGTGAAGCCCCGCCAGTCGCCACCGCTGCCGGGTGAGAGCGAGTCGAAAAATAGAGAAGTCGGGAGGTTGAAGATTTTTTCCGAGCGTGACTAGCAAGAAAAGCAGAGCCCGATGCTCTAGAAATAATCAGATCGATTGATTTTTCCTTAATTTCAGGATGGACGATGAAGCGATGGAGGCATACGAACAATTCCTCCGAGAAACAGGACAAAAATAATCGTGGGAAAAGTAGACAGAAGCGTGTCGGGCAACACTCTCGCCATGGCGAGCGAGCGGGGCGGTGCTCATCCACATTCGCCGGTCCACCTTGTACAAACTGCAACACAGAAAGTCAAATCTCTGTGTTAAGCACCAATACTTTTATCCCTTCATCCTCCGCCTCAAGGCAAGAAAAACGGCCGCGAACGCTCCCGTAACGAGAGTGTTCCCCCAACGCTGTTCGTGACACTCCATGGCGATGTTTTTTTGTGAAAGGACTTCAATATCTCTCCTCCGTTATCAACCTGAGCAAAATGCAACAACATGTGATTGATGTTGTATCATAAACCTATAGATAAGTAACATAAACGAGTTGACAGCATGCGGGTTTGTGGGACATGTATTTTCAAGCCCTCACAGGCCCGCCTCTCTAGAGAATCTTTGTCGTCTGACCCTCTAACGAGTACATAGTACTTTACAAGCGAAACCTGGCGTTGAGGACGACAAACATGAGATGCATTCGCGAAGATGGCCCGTGGAGATTGTTTAGTGTTGTTTGAAAATCATATTACGAGCTGCTACCTCGGCAATGGCACTGCTAGTCTCACGTCGACGACGGAATCGTTTGTGGCGACCGAACTATGTAGTCTCGAAAAAGATTTTCCGAGACTAACATACTGCGAAAGCGAGATGTCGCTGGCGCTGCAACATATCATGTCAAAGTCTCGGTGGATGCGTTCAACTGCACTAAATGAATATTAAATCCGTCCGCATTTCGGCAAGCGTCGCGAGACTGTTGTTCTCCACTCGACAGGAAGCATCTCGAGAGCAGCTTGCTCCCGTAGAAGGCCAAACTGACCGGCTGGCTTCGCTTATGTATTTACTGTGTATAGGTAGCCAGCGCGAAGCACCCGCTAAATAAAGCCTTGTTTTCTACGTGTGCTCGAACTTGATTAGCGATACGCCTCAGAAACCGCCTGTCAGCATTCAGAGCATGAGCGGAGCGTATGCGGGTGTCTCCGCATTCCTTCTCGAATCGAATGTGAATCGTCTGTCCCCGCTTCCAAAATCTTTGAGTCTAGCGAGACTTCCGGAGGCGTTCTAGGAATGAGGGAACGGGAGAGCGGATGGGCAGTGTGATAGCTACGATGCTACAATTCTGTTCCTCAGCCCCATCAAATCTCCCGTCTGCAGGGGGGAGCGAGCGAATGCGATATAGCGAATTAATATTTGCCCAGGACGAGGATTCGGTGAAGATTTCTCGCGCCGGTGGGATCTCTTTGGCTGCATGCTGTTTTGGACGAATCCAGTCGTGTCCCGCACGTTTCTCGATTTGAGTATGCTCATCCGCCACTTGCACGTCTTAGGGGAAGAAGTTCTCAAACAAAAACCGCCATTTTAATTTCAAAAGTTCTTGGTCGTTCACCGGATCGGGTCGTTTGAGTCCACGCTGGGAGGCAAAACCCCGACACTGCAGAGGTAAATATCCTCCTCTATGGAGTCCCGTCGTACTACCCCTCTACTCTGATAGGGTTTCAAGCTCTTGAATTCGGATTGTCCAAATAAATGCCGCGGCCCCGCTCTCAAAGGTGTCGTGGGTGGTGATGCAACGTGGTCAATCCGCGGACCTTCCCGTAGGCGCTCGGAAGCCGGTCCGGATCTCGAGCGACTCCCGTAAGGGTTTTCGCGTGACCGAAACCTTGCTCGGAGTCGTTCTTGGACAGTCGTTTTTTTCCCACAGCACTTCCGGCGGTCGGAAGAGCGCTTTACTGAGATTGCGACTCATCTCAAATACCCGCGCAGAATACTCCGGGAGACTCAATAGGCTTTTCCTGTTCAGAACCATGACGTTGAACCCCAGTGCCCAAGTCTTCATCCCATCATCACAAACCCTGAAACTTCTGGAAGAGACCGCGTCTCCGGCGGTCGATTCCGAAAAATGTTCAGCGAGCAAAGAATTCTCGCCGCCCCAACTCGAATCGCTCTATATTGATTTCTCCGAGATGGAAGACGACGGGGAATTACCCAGCAGTCGGCTACAAAGCGTCAGCGGGACTATTGACTACACAAACTTCGACGTGAGTGATTCGAGACCTCAGTTTCCTCCTCTCTCACTCTCGGAACCGATGGGACGGTTCAGGACCAATCCATTTTTCCCCGAAAATTTCCGACGTGTTGCTCGGGGAGCGGGAGTCGAGAGTGAACTCAATTTCGTTGGTTTCTGCAGTTGCCGTTCTTCTTCCATGACATGATGTCGGCAGACAGCGAAGATTTTAGTAATTATTTGTCCGACCGCGCTGAATACCTCCTTGGGTATGCTGGCACGTCTCAGATACATGCTCTCGAAATCGTCGACACGATACTAGACACTGTTTTCAACTTATTGCGGAAGAATGGACGAGAGTTCAAGAGACCGCTCAAGTTGGCAGCTGAAATGTGCGACATGGATAGGACGTTCTTGCAGATGATGCTGCAGCAGTAAGTAGCTTGCATCGGCAAAAACTAATGATCGTTTCTTCGGAATGAGCGTGCCGCACATTCGGGCCGACCGAGTCAGCACCGACCGAGTCTCGTCAATTCGCTCCATCTTACAGGATGCTTCGACTCCTCGATTACCTCAGCAATCCGCTCATGCGGGATCTCGCGTACTCGGTGCTTTTCGGTCTGATGCTCAGCGAGCTTCACGTAGGGACCTGCGTTGCCCCTCCGGAAACTCCGATGGGCTTCGCCGAAGAAGTGCGGGACCTATTCTTGGCATTGTTACAAGACAAGAAATCCGTCAGTGCGGCTGTTTTTGTGAGTGGAATCTTAATCGAACGCTCCATGAGTGCTCATCACTGCACTCTGATTCCCTAGTTACGAACTTTCGGACCAGACTGAAGCATCTCCTTTTTTTCGCTCCGTCGCAGGCAATCGAGCAGAGCGAAACCCAGTTGAAGAGCATTTGGAACGCTCAACAAATTGAGTGCATTTGTTCGATACTGCGGAGGATATCCGCTCGCTTCGCATCCACGGAACTTCATTACAAATGTCTTGCACTACAGAAGAAGTTGCGTCAACAAACATCCTACTTGTGCCTGAAGGCGCACGCGATGCCTGTAGCCCAGTAAGTGGCGGAGACACTCAATCGGAGAGCTTCACGCTCTCTCGGATATCCATTCGGAGCAGCGGGCTCAAAATAACGCCTCCCTCTCCTTGCCAGGTTGAACGAAGAAGAGGCTCGAGACTTCGAAGCTTTCCTTCTGGAATCTCGGAGGGACTTCTACTCGTGCAGGGATTGAGTGCTACTCTTAAATCCGTGGTAGTATTTCATCGAACAGTTCTACGTCCATGGAACGGAAAAGCAATAGTATCCCATAATTCTGCCAGTATTCCCAAAGAGCGAAGAGATCTACGAAGACGGATAGAACCAAAACTGAAAATCCAATCTTTAAGAAATCAACGTCAGAAAAAACGATAGAACATCCATTCTCGTTGTTGACATGTCTTAGCTAATTTTGTCGTTTGGTATGTATGTACGTTGATGTTAGCCGTTCCTATCAAATGTTTGTAAATATTGTAAGAACATCAAGTGCGACCAAAAACCACGAGAAGCGAAGCGTTAGCGAACAGGATTGGAAAGCATACGCGAGAAAAACTTGAGCGATATTGGGGCATCAAATCCAAAATGAGCGCTACCTTTCAATTATTTATTTAACCTTTGTATTCTTATGGTCCACTCGAATGGTGCACAGCAAATAGACCGACTCCGAATAATAAACCTGGGTCTTGACCCGAAGTCCGTCGTTTTCTCTACTTAACAGGCAGCGGGTAGGGCGTATCGTTATAACAACTTTCATGCCAATTCAACGACCGCGTTGTATCTCCATAACTGCTTTTCTCAAAGCCCCCAACTGAGATTCGACATGACCCTGGACTCAGTTCATAAATTTTCAATCACCATCGGACGACTGAGATCTCTAATACCAAAGAGCCTGCAGATTGACCTCCATAACATGCCTCGAGCTGACCTCGTTCATTCGAGTCGATTCCGATGAACTGTTGAGCGAGGATTATCTTCCGATGCAATCAATTCTAGCGGTCGAGGAATCTCGCTCAATCGCGATCCGTTATCGGCCAAGAGGTTTTCAGGGAAATCTAGGACGATCTTTGGCCGCTCCTTGGAAAAAGCGGACGATTGGAGAAGAAGATAGCTAGTTCAGCCCCCGGCCTTGGAGCCTGAGGACGCGGCTGCTGTCCCGAAACTTGAAGCCAGCAATCAAATTGATCTTCACGTCCCTTAAGGCGTTCCTTGGCAGCATATGATGTTGGGGGAATCATTCCGAGTACCTACATGATTCGGAAGCTCACGGAGCGGGCGAGAGGGGGACGCCTAGCTCGCCGAGGCCGGGGCGCCGTGTTCCCGTCTTATGTCCGTACCGAAATATCGGAGTCCCCTACTTTATATGTCCTTTACCTTCTAAAAAGAACTACGCCAGTTGTGTGGGGTCCAAGCTCACGAGCCTTGGGTTTCCGGAATGAGCGAGGAAGATCCTCGTGGTAGAAGCTTCGGTGGTCCACTTTCGAAGCAGGGAAAGGGATGGACCGTAGCGGAGATCATAGAGGGGGGAGAGAGCGGGGCGATTCGCCCGCCCCTCCAACGGGCCCATTCTGACCACCTCTCCTCGCGCGACTCTCCCTGCTCTTGATCTGTTAGCTCTATCTGAGTGCGAATTCTGAGGAAGACATCAGCGATGCAACGTGAGAGCAGGGACTGAGCTCTCTAATTTGGAGTTTTCGACTCGGAAACGAGAAGCTGATGTCGAGTCGATTGTTGCGACTTCTCCTACGTGGAGGAGTCTGATTGGGCCCGTCGCGTCGATGAAATTATCGGTTTGCGCGCTCGTTGGAGTGCAGGTATTATTACAGCTCCTGGACATGGCACGATTCGTGATTCGATGGAATTCTCAAATCACACATCTGTTTCGTTCTGTGCTCCATGTCGCTTGACCCAGTCCTACGAAGAGCTGCGCAGAAGAGATTCCAGGGAACGAACGAAGTCGAAAAATTGATTCCGCTTTATTAAGAGGAAGATAAATCTAGATGTGCTCGATACCTACGAAGATCCGGTACGAAATCCGACTCTCCGAATAAGTTACGTTTTTCAGGCTTTAAGTTTTTCGCGCTCTTCGTCTCGATAGCTTCGACACTCTCGAGCACAACTTCCGCCAGTGTCTTCTTGAGTCTCCTCACATGATCCTGTAAAGTTCGAATTCTGTCCGTGGCCTCCGTCAGTTTGCTTGAGAGTTCTGACGATTTATGAGTCGAGGCGTTCAGTTTATTTTTCAGTGACTGGTTCTCTTCGAAGAGTTCCTTCCAACCGGGAGTTTCCGATTGACGTTTCTGACCTGAAGAACAAAGCGCTAATTAATGGCCAATAGCGGAATGGTGTGGTTCCAGCGGTGGATCGCGATGTCGTTGGAGGACAGGGCGAAGACGGACGGCCAAGAACTCACCCTTCCTGAGAGTCGATTGATTGCCGTTGTTGCCGACAGCTGGCAGCGGAGCGGTTTGGCTCGCGACTGGCGGTTCGGAATCTTGGGGAGTTGTTGTTCCAGCTGGACTCTCCGCGTTCTTCTTATTGTTGTAAGTGTGATCGAAATTCCGTATGCAAGATTCTTCCCGCTGCTCCTCTTCGATATTAGCGTTAGCAGCAGTCGCCAACGATTCTTTGAGATCATCGGATTGCGAAGTTTTGGATAGGGGATTCACGAGTGCAGCTTCACCCCGATTGTATGTGTGGTCGTCCAGCGATAAACGGATCGGTATGTTCGTATGATATGTGTGGTCGTCCGGAGCCTCCAGCGCTTCGGGGAGCATCGGTTGATCTGCCGCAGCTGCTGGAGAGGCGCACTGAAGTGCAACTCCGGTAAAATAGGAATGTTCTTTCATGGCAACTTCAACCGAGCGCGAAGCAACAGGCTCCTGGTCCGCCGACGAATACGAGTGGTCTGCGATGGGAGACGCGGGTCTCTCATGATCCGCAGCGTCCGGAACCTGATCGAGGCTTTCTACAATATCTGGAGCGTCTTTAGCCCTGAAGCTGATCTGCAACGTGGGCACCGCATTATCCTTGAGCTCGACTCTCCCGTCCTTCTTCACCAGGGACTCCTGATCGAAGTGATCGCTACAGATCCGAGATCGCGGCGATGGTTGCCAATGATTGCCCGGCCGCGAGATGTTCCGGAGCCAAACCTTGAGCAAGCGAGTATTCTTCAGAGGGAACCTGGAAAAGTTCCTTTCGTTCGAAATACGCCCTGGGGGTAAATGAGCGTACATATCTATAGATATTCTTCCAGCGTGAGCACATCTCTTGCTCAAGATCAATATTCCGCAAGCGGATCTCTCGTATACATGGATTGGAACGTGGACCAGTTCCGACGTCCAGCGAACGTGCACCTGCGATCCAACGGGGTACTCGGGTCGCTTGCACGCGTGCACGCATGCCTTATCACACTCACTTGTGAAAGGAGACTCCTTGTTTTCTGTTCGCACATGTTCTGTTCTTGCACTTGAGAACGGAACAGACCATCGTGATGCAAGCTCTCTACAGCGAATACTTGTTGAATTTGCCGTGCCTGCCTCCGTCAGGCTCCACGGGGTCAACGTTGTTAGGCAACGTGTGGTCTCGACTCGGCCATGTCAGCTGATCCAGGATAAACAACAATCATCGCCCAGCAGCCACTCCGGTGTGCACGCTCGTACGCCTCGTATGGCGTATTTTGTACGCTTGTACGTACGCTGAGGATAGCGTACAATCGTACGTATGATGAGTCTATGGGAAGTGCGTACAAGAAAAACGCGGGGTGAAATTCCACAAACACACAAAAGAAAATTCCATTCGACAGGGGAGGGTAGACGATGGGGCTGATGATCTTCGCTGAACGTTTGACTCTGATCGGGCGGTCCCTTCCACAACTTTTCGGCTCGAAACTTCAGCCGCGTCGGATCACACGGGATCACGGAGCATTCCCTGGGTGTAATGGTGAATGGACATATAGTGCACAGAGCGGGCGCGTGCCCAGGAATTTTTTCCGGGGGAGGGAGAACGGCGCTCTCCGCTCGAGCGTTGAAGTTTGTATCTTCGTCCTGCACACAGGAAGACATGGATTCCCGTGTCGCATGCTGACAATCCCCGCATGGTCTCAGCATAATACGCTTTCATCGGCTGGTGTCCAAACAAAATCTGTTCTACGTTCAAAAACGAGGGTCATATGTGATGGCGTTGTTATTGCGCCCTGTATATGCTGGGGACCTAGTGCAGGATCTGCAACATATTCGGTCACGAGGCCGATATTTGTCCGGTATTGTCTCACTATATAGGGAACTCTCCGCCCGGCTGCTTCCTTACCGCTGGTTTTAGGGAGCCCGAAATTCTTCGAAAGTATCCTCCATTGGATTATTGTGAGGATCACCACGAAGACTCCGGTCGAGGATCAGGAAATTCGACGTCTTCCCAGTCAGTCAGAGATCGATTCGGCTGTTCATCCATGATTTTTCCAAAGCGAGAGCTAATCCACATTTTGTCGTTCAGCATCCCTCGACTTGTCGTGTGCGACTAGCCATTCGGATCCCATCCCTCTTTGAGAGATAAGTACGATGGAACGAACCTTTCACATCGCGCGAACCTTCATTTGCTTGAGATTTGGCGTATTCTTCCTAGCGGTACTTTTTTTCCTTCAGCTCCGGAGGTTTTTGCTTGTTGGAATTGTCCGCGGCTAAGATTCTCTCGCGTTCCATACGAATTCTCTTTTTGCGGCGCTGCTGAGCCTTTCCCTGGAAGAAGAGAATCGGTGATTCCTCCTTACTGCTCACTTGTAGTCCGGACTACATCTTTCCCAGGTAGCGGGTGCAGTCTCAAAGAAATCCGAAACCCCACCTGTCGTTGAGCGTGCGTATATTTCAGGTGTATCACTTCTGCTTCCTGACGGTTCTTGTCGGCCTTGGTCTTCGATTCCTTACACAACTCGAGACGCGACACCTTGTCGGCAATGTAGAGGCATACTTCCAACAGATAAGTGACACCCTGCCTGTCTCCATCAGAGACTCAACCGCGGCCCGGCACTGCAAGACAATGAGAGAGAAATCCACTTCGTGATAACTGAACTCGTGAGGAGTTGGTAGACGCTGAGGTCATCACGGGAAGATTGTTCGGGTGTAATCAGGATGTTTGCAAAGGTCAGCCGGGTTGGACTCACAGCTATCGTGGAGGAGCATAGTTTTTTATCTATTTTCGGTCATTCGAACTCAATCTCCGCGCTATCGGGTTTCTCTGGACTGTATTGATCCAGAATATGAAGCAATTCGACGATATCATTGAATTGCGCCAACGGGGGAACGATGCGCACATCCTGGAATGGGAAGTTTCCTTTTTAGGACACAAGAAGACAATCTAAATGGGAGCGACTTCCTCAATGCCCCGATTTGGAGCGATCGGAATCGATGATAGGAAATTCTATGCAGCTGCATAGAACTGCCACCCGATATAGATCGTGTTCTCCATCCGCCGAGATTCTTTGCATCCATTGGGGCCACTACCGCGTGTAGCTCAACTCTGTCTCATACCTCCCTCGATTCTGTTTATACTCGTAAATTCGATTGCTTCAAGGATTCTGTAGGCGATCGGTCAGTCAAGTACATCGATCCGTACACCCTCCCGTCTGTTTGCCTCCAAATCAAGACCAATTATGCGCGGTCAATCACAGACCGTGCCCTCCCGTGCAGACTGATTCGTGCCCTCCAAAGCCATTGCGCTCGCCATCAACCATCTATTTATTCCCATTGGCTTTCTCTTCAACCTCTCCATCCGCACAGTTTCTCTTCCCAACCTCTTTTGAGCTTACTTCTGTTATCACTCATGGAGTTCCCGAAGACTCAGTTTCGTGCCCCTATCTTTTTCTCCTCTAGATCAACATCGTCCTTGTTCATGGCAATTCTTCTCTCTGCGGTCAACTGTGTGTCATATCTTTCGCATGTGACACTACGATTCTCTTCAGCTTCTCTCCCCAACTTCCACCTCTTGAGACGCTTTGGCTTCCCCCGTTTTATTCGAGTCAGAGTATTCAGATCACTTTTCTGTAGCTCTACAGCAGCGCTCGAGAAACTAGCCCTTATCGATCCCTCGGGGCCGAAATCATTCTCTAGACTTCAGATAGATCAGCCACCATCTCCATCGGGAACGGTGTGAACAATTATCGGAAGACCACGAGAGCGCGCCGAAGCGGACTCGTTGGAGGAAAGAGAGATCCTGAATAGGAGCGCCAGGACGTATCTAGATTGAGAACCCACACAGCCGCCAATCGGCACTACAGATCTGACTGATACAACAACGCGTCTGTGACGAAGTTTACGGATCAGCTATCCGCGCGACACGTGAGTATCGACGCCGCAGAGAGCTCTCGATTTGTTGCCTACGATTGCTCCCTGGTTCGTCGTGCATCGAATCACGCACGATCCGAAGCCACCGCGTTTCTCTCACTTGAACTGTCAAAACACGGTCTGCAGGGCTCTCGAGAGCGTTCGTTTTCCTCGACCAAGCGATAGCTTCTGACGATGGATCTCCAAGCTCCAGTTAAGGAGTTCATTTCGTTGGTGGAATCCAACCCCGAGCTTTTGCACTCGCCTCAGTATGCGTTCTTCAAGGTGAGCACGTCATCGTAGATAAACTTCTTGAGTGAAGTGAAATTCGGAGATATCCGAGACGGAAGAGCCGCAGCGTAGTCTGAGATTGTCTGAGCCGGACCCACATTATTTAATATTTCCCAGCGTTACCTAGAGAAACTCAACGCGACCATTCCCCCGCCACCCGCGGAACCCGAAGAGACGGAAGAGAAAGAACCTGAGCCAGAGGTTGCATCTGATCCGGAGAGTGAAGTTGGTAAGACTCTTTCATCGTTGTGAGATCTGCGGTCTGCGGCTATCCGAAGCGGAGTCTTCTCGAAATTCGAGATCCCTGGAATGTCGTCAACACGACCAGATCCGTGATTCGACTGCCAAGTATTTTCTATCGTCAGAGCTAGCGCCAGTCTCTCGGGGACTCTTCTCTTTCTTGATCTCTGGCGCATCTTGCGCCCTCTTGACGCCACTTCAGCAGCAACTCCTCGGGGCGACGATGCGAGATCAGCGATCCATTCCATGCCCCGGACAACTTGGCTCAAGAGAAAAACAAATCTCTTGGAGAGAGTCACGGTCAAGGCCACTCTCAGAGCTCACGGAGGAGCCGAGTCTTAGGACTTGGGGGGCGATGAGATCCCTCAGCGGGGAAAAATCACAAGCTTCATCAACAGAGCGTCTCAATTCCAGCCGGGATTCTCCCATGGAACTTCTGCTTGTTCGGGCCTCATTCGTAGATAGAAGGAGTGGATTTATATTTGCGACCCGAGCTTTTGAAGTCAGTTAGACGGTCTCGCCAAAGTTGGAGCGGATTCGATTGACGGAAATCCTTCTTCCAGAGCTCGACACAAGCGGGGTAATCGACAAGGACGATGATCTCAATCTCGGACAGGGGGAAACGTCCAAAGAACCCAGCGATGACGACCTGGAAAAAGCTGGCGAGGTGGATTTCTCTTTGTTTTGGATGAGCAAATAATTAGGAGCGAACTTGTGATATCAGGCGCTTCTGACGGACGCCGTACTGAAGTTGAACTTCCAATTACAGTTACGATCTCAAGCTCAGCAGGCTCTCGGTGAAGGGAGGATCGACGAGTCGCTGAAGCTATGGACCGAAGCCATTGAAGTCAATCCCCAGTCAGCAGTATTCTTCGCAAAACGAGCTCAGTACGTCTCGCGCTCATTCCGAACGTTTTTCTCGAAATGAGCTTCATAGAGAGACGCTCCCGACCGTTCAAAGCATCTGAGCACAACCGAAAATTCTTCTTCCCCCAGGTGCCTACTGAAAATGCAGAAACCATTCAACGCGATCAAGGATTGCTCGAGAGCTCTCGAATTGAACCCAGATCAGGCGCTCGCTTATAGACTCCGAGGCAGGGCACACGCACTCCTCGGTGAGTTTCAGTCGGGGAAACGTCCATTTTAGGGACTCGGATCTACCTTGACGGGGACGGGGCCAGAGGGGCTCAAAATGATTCGTCTGATAGCAGTTCACTAATGGACAGGTTTTTTTCACGGTAGGCGATTGGGAGCAGGCGGCTTCTGATCTGAACAATTCACTCAAGATCGACTACAACGAGGAAGGTGACCAATGGCTAAAGGAAGTCACCCCTAACGTGAGTGTTTGTCATCTCTCTCTTCACAATCTCTACCTCACCGATTTAATCCTGATTCAGGAGCGTTCTGGTCCCCGATTTCCGATAGTTGAATTCTCGATCCATCAGGCGAAGAAACTTCACGATCACAAGCGCAAATACGAGCGCAAGAGGCAAGAGAAGGAATTACGAGAGCGTGAAGAAAGGATCCGACGCGCGCAGGAAGAACGTAAGAAGGCAGCTGAACAGGAAGCGGCTTCCGGACTCGGCGACTTCCCTGATGGCATGCCTGGTGGCTTCCCTGGTGGCATGCCCGCTGGTTTCCCTGGTGGGATGCCTGGTGGTATGCCTGGAGGTATGCCCGGCGGCGGAATGCCTCCCAGTAAGTACTCACGATATTTCATCGACAACCTCGCAAAGAGACGCGAGACTGAATTTGCATTTCACTGACTAATCCCATTTTTGAAGACATGGGAATGTTCGCCGAGTGGATGAAAGATCCCGAGATCCAAGAGGCACTGAGAGATCCGGAAATCGCCGCGGCTCTCCAGGTGAGGCATCGTGACGATGTAGAGCAGCATTTACGGGAAACGATGTCAACTGAATCAGATATCCAGCGTTTAGGAAAGTTGCTATCAGCCTTGGGCTCAGTTGCGCTCCCCCATGAAAAGCGTCTTCCTATTCCCAGGCGATGTCGAAGGATCCGAGCAGTTTGCTGAAGAATCAGTCGAATCCGAAGGTCATGGCCTTCATGGCGAAAATGTCCTCCAAGATGGGTTTCAAACCCAAGTAAGGCCGACTCCATTGCCTTCGCTTGCCGTGTCTTAGCTTTCGGAGCTCTTTCAGTTCCGTGGATCATTATCTGATCTGGTGCACTGAGAATCGATCAATAAACTTCCTTTGAGAGGATTTCCGCTCTTCATTCCCGAAACGAAGCAAAATTTGAGAAACTCCAGATATGCGCTCACTGCGTGAGCGAGGTAGGCTCGGTAGCTCTGAAGAGAAGCCATGAGATATCCGAGCGGATTTCGGTACTTTCACGGATTCTGAGACAATATACCCCCTATTCTAATTCTCTCGGTACGCTACAAGGTTTCGGATGTCTCGGCGCCGTACTTTCGCATCATTGCAGAGGAGTTATTGATTATCATTCATAAACCATCGAAATCAAGACTCGAGATCACTTTGTCTCCGCCCTTCTCAGAGCTCATCGGAAGCTGATCTCCGTCCCGAGGAACCGGCCTCAGATACTTTTAACATTTCGAGTGAAACTTCTCTGGATTCCTGCTGTTCATTGATTAGTGGATCCAATCAATTCCAACGTGGATGCAACAAGATTCTATGGGAAAAGTTCATTCATCTTGACAAGGAGCATCTCCCCAGGGTAGTTACGTCCAAGGTTTCCTCTCGGGGGCGAGCAACAAATTCAGCTGACGAGATTCTCCCAGTTGAGAGGGGCGGCGGCAGAGAGTGTAACTTCGCGCAGGGAGCCCTCCGGCGAAAACCGAGACAACCGGGAGGAATGAAATTCGTCCCTTTATGATGGGAGAAATTGGAGCTCTCGTTTCCGCAGTCGGCGCGGATCAGCGCAACTCGCAGCCTCGAGCTCCCGAAATCCTAACTCCGGAGAAATGAGCAGAAACGAGCAAAGATCATCGTCATCATCGTCTTCTCTCCCCTCTGACGAATCCCGGTTTGAAACGAAATCCTTCAGCAAACTCATTCTCGCGATTTCCGTGAGATTCTTATTCCTACATTCGACCTCTCACTTGAGCTCACGCATCGCCGATTACTCGCTCACAATCCCAAAGGCGTTGCGAATAGAATTCCTGATTCATTTGCGAGGCGCTGCCGCCGTCGCTGCTGCTGCTGGCGCTCGTCGTCGTTGTGTATAGGTTGTTGCTGGCTGTGTGTTTTTGTGTGAGAGAGAGGATGAAAGTGAAGAAGTGTAAGCAGAACAAGAAGAACAGGAGCGAGCGAAACACAACAGCTAGACATATTGGCTTTCTGCTGTGGCTACTGCTGCTGCTGTGTCAAGTTCTCGAGAGCTGCGAAACGTTTTGTGCATAGTGCCCGGCGACATTCTCTGTCAGGAAAGCTTCGTGGGTAAGTTCGACCCCGTGACAATGGACTGGCCGACGAGTTCTCCCCGGGGAATTTTCGTGGTGCCTCTCGCAAGTTGAGTCCGCGGCTCACTGCCATCGGCAGCTGAAGGCTCCAAAAGAAGCGCCAGGGGACGGAACGAGACTGCGCAGCCTCGATATGCGGGAACGTTGCCTCTTGAATGCCCCGGTTGTTGCAAGAGTCCGCTCAGAGCGTCAACGCTCCTGCGGTCGCGTCGTAGTCAGCATCGGCTTGGCCTATTCGAATTCTGCGGCTCGGGTGCTGACCATCTCCAAGCTCTTCCTCGACGTTTATCCCCAACCCGACCGCAACGACGGGTTTCCCCTCTCCATTGAATTCCGAATCGTTCCTGCCAAGCTGTGCCGAAAATCGAAACCTCACGTAGGCCGAAAGGCCGAGGAGAAAACCGAATCGGCTGGTGTCGTCTTCTCGGGGCTCTTGGATCGAAGTCGTTCGGGACTCCCCCGACTCTATGCAGCTATTCGGGGAAACAGCGAACGTTTCTGTTTGTCGGTGGAGCCCGTCCCGGATGCGGCGACGGTGATGTTCCGTTCTACAGGAGAAACCCGGGCCCCGAGTCGCTTTATGGTCGAAATCCGCTCAGTGCCCGCTTCTTCGACGCGATCTGAGCCGCTCCGATAGGCTGTAAGCTCGTTTGCTCAGGTTTCGCACCCCGTGATTATTCCGATTCCGTGTTGCGAACTGCAAACTTCCCCAGCTGATTGACAAAATGATGATGCCGTGCGTACGAGCGACCCAGTGAGTGAGCGCGAGAGTTGGTGTTTGTGTGTGCCGTCGTCGTCGTCGTGTAGCCGCCCGTCGTTGTCCTCCCTGCTTGTGTTGTTGTCAGCAGTGGCGGCGGCACAGGAGGGAGAAGTGGCGCTTTTCGGTGAAAATGGAGATTAGTCCGAGTTTCGAGACGATGCGCCGGAGTTTCCGGTCTGCTCCCATGTGCAAAACACCTAGTTAACATGCTGAGTGAGTGGTCGGTGGTGAGGTTCGAACGATTGCTACCAGTGGTCCCTCTCGGTTTTGTCGGCAGCAGGGCTCTCGCTCCGACGATATCTGTTGCTGTTGATGATATTCGGCAGCAGCAGCGAGAGCGGCGCCAGAGATAGGGCAAGAGCATCGCCTGGGCTGAACTCTTTTTCTGCCAGCAGTGCGAGGCAAGCGATTCGCACACGCGTACGTATAATGTTCCAATGATCGATCTTTGGCTCATGCCTCGAGATTTGGGCTTTCGAGACATCCGTTCTACTCCGACGTTGCCGGGGAGAGGGGAGAAGCGGGAAGGTTGTAGCAGGCGGATAGGGAAAGACGCTCCCGGGCGCTCGCTGGATCCGCTCTTGGAACTCGTTCCAGGACTGCGCCCGCCTTCCGTCCCGCAACGATGGGAAATCACGGGAAGTCACAGCAGCCCAGGCCCCTGTGGTCAGAATCCGCGAATGGAATGTTATAATTATTCTTGTGACATGTCAGTAGAAATCCGAGCAGACATTTCGCTGTCCCTCTTCCGGAAACGGGATTGGGGACCCTATTGGGGGAATTGACTGAACCCCGAAGGAGGGCGATGCGTGACTGAGCGTCTCGTGTCGGAGGGACCACTGGAAAGATATCTCTTTTTCTAGAAATGCTCCTAAAATTCAATCGGAGTGTTCCTGCGGAGAGAACATCAAGAGTAACTTCCTGATTACACCTCAAGCCCTGTGTCAGTACAAAGACAAAGCCGGCGGCTTCGAGGTTCATGTGTAAATGATTTGAGGGCGCGTGGGGTGAAATTCTTTTCGGGAGCTCGAACATCACAAGACCTACTCGAACACCACAAAATCATCCGAAATCTTGCTGTCGGCCGGTGTATCTGTTGCCCATACGATCGCTCCGAAGCAGCCGAAGTTCTTAGAAATGAATTGATCTCAAGAAGTCCCCTGTTCAGCACAACCGCTTTTTCTTTAAAATGTTCATTATTTTCCTTGCAGAGAACTTCTATTGACACGAGCGTATCCTGAGGAGCATCATCATTCCGCCACGCGATGTCATCGTCCGGTGAAACGAAACCTCCGGATCTTCCGACGGGGCGGGTCACTGCGACAGCAACAACTCCTATTGATCTTGCCCGTGTCGTCGTGAAGCCGACAGCCCTCCAAGATAACACCGTCGCCGTCACTGCCGCCGCAACTTCGGTTACCGTAACGGCTCAGACGACTCATCTGGCCCTTCCGAGAGTTCAGCCATCGACGTCCGTGATTTCAGCAACGGCGACTGCTGGACAGAGCATCTTCACTCCGGCACCATCTCCGGCATCTCATCTTATCGTACCTTCGGTAGCCGCCGCGAAGGGCACCACGCTACGACCGTCGATTCGTCCTCTGCAGCCGGCACCGGTCATAGGCACGAATGTACAGAAGATCATTGCAACACCCACCATAACGCCCCAAGGAGTGAAAGCTCCGACGGTCGTCCCGCACGTCAGATCTCCAGTCGTCCCTGTGCAACAGACGACCGTACAGCCGGTGGCTCAATCCCAGCAGAACAAGCAGAGACCGACGACTCCGGCGGCGTCTTTGATACGAGCTTCGAATCAGTTCACGACCCATGTGCCGAGAGGTCCTGCAACGGTCGCAAGCATCACAGCAGGTCCCAAAACTGCGGTGGCCACACCGATCATCCGTCAGACGACCGGACAGAATGTCGTTCTGGCATCGAGTCACATACCCGTCGGCGCGAGAGCCTCTGCGGCCGCCCTTACTCCGGCGCGAGCGTACGCCCCGGTGACCATGGTTGAGCTTTCGAAAACCCAACAGTCGGCCGGGCAGTTGCATTTGGGCATCCCGCCGAGCATAACGATAGAGCCTGGAGTCCGTTCTACGGTTTCGACGGGACCGAAACAAACGGTTTACACACCGGCGATTTTCCAGCCGATTGTGTCGACGGGCGAAAAAACAGGCTCGACGACGGCGTTCTACAAAACCACAGGAGCCGGTGCTCCAGCACAGTTTAACAAGGGCACCACAACTTTCACCCCGATCACTACGTCCCAACCACAAGCTGTCGTTCAGCCAGTATCGAACGCTCCCACCTCACAGGCAGTGACAATAACGAGCAAGGTGACGGTGACCAACTCGAACCAGTTCAGTAAAGTGGCGAGTCCTGTTTTTGTTTCGAACAAGGCCAATGTGAGCAACGTGGTCATCACGTCCCAGCGACCAGTTAGCGTGAGTGTTGACAATTTCCTCCGCCCCGTCCCTCAATCTTCCCCTAAATCACTTTCTTCCTGTTTCCCACCATTCCTCTCCTAAAGGTTTCCGAGTTGGAGCTTATAGTGTTTCTCGATTCATTCAGTTCGGACGTCCGGGGTCTAATCTGGATATCCACTTCGGTCCACAGGTACGGAATGTCTCCACGACGCAAGTCACGACGACGCCCAACGCGAACAATCTCACAATCCCAATGGCAAAAGTTTTCCAGCAACCTCTCACCGTGACGGGGTCGGAAATCGAGGCTCAACCGCAGCCAATCGGTTTCATGACCGCCGCGGGTCCGAGGCTGCAACTCCCAGTCATAAGCGTGGGACAGAACGTTCAGGGGACGAGTCCTGGAACCGTTGTGCTTACCGGCGATGCCAGTAGAGGGAGTGGTACGACCCAGTACATGCAACCGGGGACGTTCCTCCGTTACGAGACGTTCCCCGCGTCGGCGTACTTCGGTGGCCAAGGCGGAGCGTCGACTCCCGTGCATTTGACCACAGCGATACCCGGCGTCCGGACGAACAGTCCGTTCAGTTCGCAGCGTTCTCTGATGGTCACCGTCGATGCGAAAGTCCATCCCGGCACATCGAGTAATAACGTCATCTCGGTCACTGCCACCAAAGCGAACAACCATACGAACTCAACGGAGCTCAATTCAGCACAGACCACTTTTAACCCCGATATTGCGGCCGGTCTCCAGCGGATAAGCAGCGAGACGACCATAACGAAATTGGCAACACCCCCTCCGCCTTCCATCACGGTATCGGCGGTTCCAACTCCAGTTGTCGACCGCGTGACAACGACGGTCATCGCCGAGCCACATTCGACGAAACTGGCGAATTTGACGGAAAAAGTCATCACGCAAGCTCTCTCGGGGACGGGAGCGGCGAGCGGGACCGCGGTTGGAGGGGCATCTCTGTCGAACGCCGCGTCGGGAACCCTCTCGTTGCCCATCACGGTTACCGGAATTCCGTCGTCGACATCGGCGTCGGCAAATCAAGTAGCGACGATACTTCCGACGAATCAACAAGCCACGCAAGGCAGCCCGAGTAGACCGTCGATTTTGAGGAAGAGACCCGCAAGTACTGCCGATCATTTCAACGCGCTCGTCGCGTCCAGTGCGCCCCCCAGAAAGGATTCCAAGGATGACCAAGTCCTGTTCAGCATAAAACAAGAAGTCAACGCGGAAGATGCCAGTAATTCCACGCCCGGTAACTCAGCTTCTAGCAACGACAACCATCACGGGGCTCAGAACGGACAAGTCAGTCCGCGGAAAAAACCGCGAAAACAGTTACTCCAGTCGAGCGAGATCGAAGGGGAGGCGCGTTCGGTGCGACGGGAGGAAAACGGGAAGGACGATAACGCAGCTATCAATCAGCGACCACAACTTTTCGGAGGACAGCAGCATGGATGGAAGGCACGTCTCAATCATTTCCTGCGGCATTCGGACGTTCGTTGCAGGGATGATCGGAAGCCCTCCGTCAATGAATTAGCGAATCAGAAGAGCGCTGCGCAGAGAGCCCACGGTTGGAAGGTTTGTCCGATTTCTTAACTTACCCACCGTACCCATTCATTGCTCTGGGTAGGCGAAGCGAGGATGTGGTGGGAACCATGTTCCGACACGAGTCCATGTCATTCATTGCATTTCATTGGACTCACGATTCTCAAATTACAGCTCTTCCACATCAAAGGACAAGTCGAAGAAGTCGAAACAATAGAGTCGGACGCTGTTCACCGCTTTAAAAAAATGCTCGAAGATTTCGAAGCGTCGAGCAAAGCCACGGAAAGGTCCACGTTCGGACCTGACGAGGAGAAGATGCTCAATAAGATCGCCGACTTGATAAAGGTGAGACGTCATATCATTCTCGAACAGCCTAGATGAATCTATGAGAGCAAAATGAGCAGGATGGCTTTTCTGTATGACTCCGCCATAGCCGAAACCTATCGAGAGGAGTAAACGGCGTTCGTCCAATTCCAGGGGAATTTGCAGCGGAGCAAGATTATGCAAGACCAAATGATCGAAGTTAAGAAGCAGTTGAGCAAGGTGCTCGAACACAAAGGTAGAGTGCTGGACGTCATCGGCAAGCACGTCAGTAAACGTCCGCTGAAAAAGAGGGAAAAGCTGTGAGAGACACACCAAAGGAAGTTGCACACTTTGTAGACGTTCAGGAGATGTCAACACCTGCATCCAACTCAAAACATCAAACTGATTCATTTTCCGTCATGATCGAGCGAACGGCTCATCGAAACGAATGGAACCGTTTCCTCCGGCGGGGAAGCCGCTGAGGAGGGAGACGTAAATGAAAACCCACTGTCTATGCAAGATGCCCTGTGTTGAGCAGCGGGCGAATGGGATGTAGTTTTTTTGTGTGTGTGAACGGCAGTTCGCCGGAAACCCTCTCAGAACCAGCCTTTCTGACCCTTGTGATCTCTACCACCAGCAATTCCGTAGCACAATGAACTTCTGTGACGGATCAATGATGCTCGTTGCAATCCCTTGCGGCGAGGCGGGACAGCTCTCTTGTATAGAATTTGTATAGTGTTGGAGCCCGCAGCAAGATTAAGTAAGTGGGCTAGATCAGCATCCGAGGGCGTGCGTATCAGAAGACATACGACGCCCCCGCGACATTTTCTGCTCTTGGAGAGCAGCGCTATATATGAGGAGGTGAAGACGGGGAGTCATTCGAGCTGTTTTTAAGTATTTTTGATTGATACCTCACGGGCTCCGAGAAGCGCTCGACAGCCTTCCCTTCCCGTGTCGGAATCAGTGGACGAAACGTGAAGTCATCTGGTGACCTCAGGATTCATTTTGTCGCTCCTTCTCTCTGTTCTGATATCTAAGCTTTGAGTTTGTTTCCAAGGTTGCGAGCGATGATCGGAGCGAGTATGTGTTCATGGCGGAAATTAATTTAGCAGAGTGCTTCCGGAGGAGCCACCCACTTGTGATTAGTAATCACGAACTCACAAATTGGTATAGCGGATAACCCCCGCGAGTTGTTTGACTTTGCCGTCGCTCCCTATTTGTTCTCACACTATATATATATGTCCTTTCTCTATGGAAGCTAATCTAAGTTCTCGGCAAAGAATCGTTTTCACTCGGACAGCGACCAGATCTTGTTGTGCGACTCGACTGAGGTGTATCGATGAATATATTATATAAATATATCTGGATCGTCCACGAAGAAATATCCATGAGCTGGTGTTCATTGTGACATCTGAAGAGTATAGAGGAACTTTTGCGAATGTAGTAAAAAATCTCCAAGCAAATAATTTCAGAGAACATTATTATATCTTTAATGTGATCAGCATTATCGGTCGGATTGCTGGTAGCTACAACAGATATGATCGGCGTGGTCATGTAATATTGTAATATGAGGGTCCTCGAGCGAGGGGAGGATGCGAATCAATAAAAATTTTGCTATGGAAGTTTGATACGCCGTGCCCTCCGTCGGGGGTCGATTTCACGGAGTGAGCACAGTTCACTGTTGAAAAGCAAGAATGATACATATGAGCCAGGACGGTTGTGAACGGGCGAGAAAAAGCCACAATCCTAAGTTTTTCTCCTGTGTGCGCGTCGCGGTGGGGCACAAGGGCTCCGGCGATTGAGAAATTGCCGCTTCAGAAATGGTTATCCACGTTACGACCGAGCCCGACTCCTTGTGTCGCGAACGCGTTCCGGCGCACTGTCCCGAGAAGAGCATGGTCGGCTCACGAAACACTTCCCCCCTGGTCCTTCCATCAGGCGCCATGATTCTCGGATCCTCTGCTGGCATGTATGAGCTTTTCGCCAAACTATACAGCCCATCTGGAGGAGTCTCATGCCATTTCGAGATTGATATATTTCCTCAAGGATGATTCTCGCATGGGTGTGGAATAGAATGAAAGAAAACACTTGGGTTCACGCGCCTTTATTCAAGTCATAGCTTTGTATAGTCGAACAATTCACACGATACTCAACACAGCTTTTCATCCGTCGAATGGCTCGGCTTCCAGAACTCTTCAGCTGGAGTCTCTGTGCTCGCTGAGCTAGTTTGTCAGCGACTGCCGAACGAAAGGAGGAACAGCTCCTTACGCAATCACTCATGTCCTAATCAGGTTTTGGGAACTTAAAAGACACACCGAATCGGGTGACTCTGGAGTCAGAAAATCATCACTGTTCAAAGCAGTAAACCGATGACTCGATAAACTTACGTACAATACACTCAAGGTGATAATTCGAAGTCGCTGCTCTGCTCTAAGGTTTTGTATTCGATTCTAGATTTGTAGATAGATGAGGGTAGGTGTGTGTGCGTTGCTTTAAAGATGCTCTATAAGAAGTTATTCGGAGCAAACGCGCAATTACAATCCTAGGACTCATTCTGAGATTGTTATGAAACCTGCGGAGCCTCATTCTGCGATCGGACCCGAAGCTCGCGCGAATTCATAGTACTGATTCTCGATATCTTAATAGATCTTGGATTATCATACCTCGGTAGCGAATGCCTTCTTTCGAACCGGCTTTCCGAGAGTGGAGATTCGACTCGCGACAGATTCGTTCGTGGAATTATTCGCTGATCATGTACCCAATATGGTCGCGATTCCACTCGAAAACCGTGTCTCGCTCGACGCATTGCGATTCTCTCCGGCGAATCTGAGATTCCGAGAATCGAGCTGGTCGTCGCTCTTCTGGAAGCTTCGATATCATTTTCGCTTCGAGATCCCCCGCTGAATTCTGCCAACCCTACACTTTACACGGATATCGCCTCCGTTCGCTACGATGCAATCGTCGGAGTGTTTACCTAGATACGATTGGGTTTTTCTGCAGCTCCGCGCCGGAATCGTCCATCTCGTCCCATTGCTCTACGAGACCATACGCTAGCAGGGGAGCAGGAAGAATCTCGAGCCCCTCAATAGAACATCAATTGGGTCGAAGTCTCACGCGCGCCGGCCGGCTGAACACACGGAGCGAACACCTTCTCGATTCCGGACAGGTGACTTCCTCACGGCGAATCACGAGATTAGAGGGACTCGGACTTAACAGCGGTCTTCTGCCTAGGTTTCGTCGATTCAAACAGCATGAGTACGAAAGTTGAAGTCATCAGACTCCCTCCTCCTGACGCTCGATGATCAACTTATCACAAGATTCATGAGTTACTTGTTTATTCCTATATTTTTCAATTTCGATTCCAGTCAATGGCGAGGCGTCTTTCTCCCGTCTACTATGAAGTCTGGACCCCCGGATGCCTCGATCAGCCAGAGCTCTCGATGGCTTTGGGCGAATGATCCCGCGTGAGTGAGACATGAATGAGTTTCGGAACTTGAGGGAACATCGGCTTTCTCTGACCCGTTATCAGCACGACTATGCGGGTGAGGTGCTGTCACACGTTCCCTCTGTCTTATTTCGCGGGTAAGTATACATATATTATCATAACACTCGATCATCTAGAATAAGGTTTCTTTCTGGCAACGCGCGGCTGCTCATCTGCAGCTTGCACGAAATTCTGAAGTCTATACGAGTGTTGCTCGCTCCGAAGAGTGGATGGAACCTCGCTATCGATAGCCCGAATCGAGAATCCAATTGTTGATTGTGTCTACGGTCGGTGTCGGAGCTCCATCTTGACTCGATTGTGCGCAGTATTGGTCTTCGAGCCGGTGATCTGGAACACCGGAGATTGCGTGACGTGTGTCCTGCGCGCCACGGATTGGGACCTGGTTGAATGATGCGCAGTTGACGGACTAGGTGTAGATGGAACTCATAGAGCAGCACATCTTCGACAATGATGATTAGGAGATGTTCGAGTAGTAGTTCGAACCGGACGTAGGAGGCGTCGAGGACGGGTAGCTTTGCAGTGTAGCGAAATTCTGTTGAGAAAGTTGATATGGCGTCGATGTAGGAGGCGCCGGGGAGAAATTGCTTGATTTGTTGTAGGGAGAATCTGTGCTCCGCGGAGAGGCTGACGAAGGCGCTAGATAGTCCAAGTTTATGCAGTTAGAGTAGTAAGAACCTGCGAAGGGCCGAAAGATCCCAATTAGATCTCCGAGAGTCATCGTCCTCGAAAAGCACCTGATTGATCCAAGCAGCATTAAGGGAGAAGACTCTCGACGGAATCACTCCCCAGGTCCCAAGCCCGCCTCGTATCGTCATTCATATTTCTGGGGCGCATTTCGAAAGCGCTATCAAATTGCTCACCCGCAGTGTAAGCTGAGGGTGGATAGCCGGGGGCAGGCGGAGTATTGCTGTTTTGAGGAAGAGCGTAATGAGTCGCACTCATCGGAACCCCGACACCCATGGGCGGACTCATTGGACTTCGTTGAACAGGTGGAGCGTTTCCAAAATCACACGATGCAGGCGACCAAATCGAAATCCCATTTGCCATGGAAGCTGCATTGCTCAAAGCTGTGATGGGTCCTATCGAGGAAACAGGAGATCCATGTTGAGTTGGCGAACGAACTGACAAATCGGACATAGGATGGTCTTGAAACCCTGTCGTGAACGCGGGACTTCATTTCGCGACTTACCGATCGGGGGCGTCATTGCGAGAGCGGGAGGTTTGTACGGCGAAGCACCTCTAGCGGGACTCATGGAGAGGGCCGTGGCCGACGGTGGAGGGGATTTAGATTTTTTTACACGGACCGATTTTCCAGAAGTGCCATTACTTCCGGCTGACTGAGCCTGAAATGAAGATCAAAGAAATGGAATCTCATGATAGCGGATGATTGCTCGCAGTGGGAATTCCGATTGGAAGTTGTCGAACTCGCGTGATAGTTCGCTGACCGTTTGATCCTACCTGAGATTGGGTCTGCTGCCTCTGTTGTCTGCATTTGGCTCGACGATTCTTGAACCAGACTTGGACTCGGCTTTCAGGGAGATTGATTTTGAGCGCAACCTCTTCACGCATGAAGATGTCAGGATACCTCGTCTTTGAAAACAGCGATTCGAGAACGTCCAGTTGGGCACGAGTAAATGTTGTTCGTTCACGACGTTGCTTACGAGGCGCAGGACCTCCACCTGAAAGGAACGCGGCGAATTCAGCGAGATGATCAGTGAAACGTGTCCGCGAACTTCGGGAGCCTAGCATGTCCGAAGATTATTTCGAGGACTATAAATCTGATATGTTGGGCGTTATCAATCGTGGTGGAAGAGCAATCGGTCGCCGCCTCGTCTCTAGGCTGCTGGAGTGAATCGAGTTTCCGTCAGGAGCCGCGAACATTCTTCTTCCTGAATGTGTGAAGGATTATGCGATAGAATGCTCTCGCGATCTCGGAGGGCACAGCTCGCGCGCTGCAGCAAACTATTCACGACCAGCCCGCAGACTGGTGTCCACATTTATGGCTTGTGAAGCCAGCCTCTCGGACGGCCAGCAGGCGCTGCGACGAGTGTTTTCAAAATAGTTGGAGTTGTTCCTAGTTTTTCTGTGTTCGTTCGCTTTTAGTCGAAGAATGGGAGCCTATCTTTTTTTTTCGGCAGACGCCAGGAGGTGGCTTGGAACCTCATAGGAGATAATCCGGATTTGCACAAACAGCTGATCCTCGCTACACTGGCAGATCGTTCAACGAAAGCCGTGACGGAGTAGTTGCGACTTTCGCTCGAATCTGTTTCGATGCTCCCTCAACGGCCATCGTTAATCCAATTTTCGGATATTAGATCGTCAACTCCAATTAACTTTATTTCCCAAATCGCTCCATGAGCGCGAGACTCCAGTTTCGGGCGGATGTTGGAGTTTTCGCTCTTTACGATATTTTTTTCCCGAGACTGAGGGCGAGATTCGCGATTCGCTTTATTCCGAGAGAACGATCGCAACAGCCGTCCGGGACCCCGGATCGAATGGAATCGATCTCAGCCTGGGTAATACACTCGGCACTTCTCAAACTTGCTCACGTCTCGAGTGCGAATATCTGAGAGGATTCCGGGTGACTTGGATGGAAAATCCAAAGCATCTCTCCGATAAAGCTATTTCCCGATCCCGACGTGGATTATCTGGTACTCCATGGCGGAGCGCGAAAGGTCTTCTCGTTCGAGGAACTTGTGAACATTTGCATTCGTGAACGCTCGAATGAAAGCTCGGGGCCGGGTGCGCGTTGCTGTCTCGACTACCCACTGTTTGGTGCAGGGACCGTTGAGTATTCGTCTCTACTTCCTTTTCTCTCTATCCGCCACCCGGTACTTTTCTCTGGCTTGCTTCATGGTTGGTTGTTTGCAACTTTGGTAGCAGTTGTGTCCTAACCAGCTTTCAATGCAGCCAGGCAAGCTCTGAAGCTGAAGGCCATCAGCCATTTGGAAGTCGCTCCATGTCACGTTCAATAAAAGGTTTCGAGCTTTGTCGGAACTTCGAATAGTGTGTATCTCGGCCCGTGACCCGACAATGATTCCGAGTCAGGGAACACAAATAATATTCTAATTCCTTTCTGTGACTTGATATCGGAGATACGGCCTGCAAGGATTCGACAATAACGGACAGTGGCTGGACCCGATGACGCAGCCTGTGCGCTCCCGTTTGGATCGATGATTTCCCGCACGCAAAAAAGCTCGACCCCGGCAAAAAGGCTTCAGGCATCGGTAGCTACAACTGGAGATGCTGCCGTTGGGGCTGTGGCGTCGTTCGTTGACTATCGCTCCTCCTTCGCGGCCGTGGGCGGCGTTTATTTCGAAGGCCACGATTTGTCCGAAATTCCGTTTGTCGTCTGGCTCGCCGGCTCGTTTTGTCTCAGAGATTTTGTTTATCTTCAAGACGGGTTGCTCGCGCTGTTCGAGGCACAAAGCCGACGCGGAGCCAAGCATGACACGTTGACCAAGCAGCATCGCAGTCCCTTTGAAAAGCCATTTCTTCAGACTCCTCGCCGCGCCGTCCAATTCACGAAGACGATATCCCGGTAGAGAATACGCCGAACGCTAGGACAATAGGGCTGACGAACCGGACTTCTGTAACACAGAGCCCATCGCAGGATTGATTTCGTCGTAGGCTTGACCCGAAAGACTTATCGGAAAAACTTCCGGCGGACCAGCCAGGGGTGCACTCGTCATCGAATGAATTCGACGTGCCGTGGGCTCGCATGACGCTGCGAGGTTTGCAATTGATTTCTGAACCCTCTCATTGCGGGACGGACTATTTGCGGAAAATTACCAGGAGTCAACCTCTGTGGCGAGAAAGCCCTCGCATGAGGATAGTGCCAGCTCGGGTAGGATTCGCCCGAAGGAGGATCATTGGAGGTCTTAGAATTTTCAAGACAATTATTGAAAATCACGGGTTGAAGTCGGTGCTCGTTTTCGAGCGACATCGCCGGCGGCCGCCGTACAGACGTGCGCATTTCCCGCGAAATCAGCTCGAACTTGGCGCATTGACAGCTATTAGCTGACTATAATAGCGAGCTCCTATCGGTTCTTGCAGACACAATGATATTGCCCAGAGATAGCGATAGGAGCGATACGAGTCGGATGTTCACTGTATATCCAATGAACTATCTAGATAAGGTACTGATAAGCTTCTAGCTCCTCTTTCTCCCCGAATTAGTCCGGTCAACAACCCCAGAACTTTGAAGCTCACCGTTTGAGCGCCTTGGCGAAATCGTCTGACGGAAAAGAAGTGCTGCTCAAATACCCCTGTCCGGAAGTTTTCGCAAAATCATTCGATCGACGAATTCGAAATCATAATATCGTGGCATCTCCACGAAGCCGAACGAGGAGCGCGCATCGAGATTCCGTGAGCGCGTGGAGGAAGTTGACGGGCGCGATAGATATCATCGAGTGCAAATCATGGATTCCCGATGCCGTTTTGAATTTCGCCCCCTGCAGCCGTCGACGTCGTTCGTACTGTTAGACAGACGGCGACTCGACGTGACGTCTTGTACTTCATCGACCACCGCGATCTTGCGGTTGCCTTTGGCATTTGCCGGCGAAATTTGTCATTCGCCGAAACCGTGTGTGTGTGTGTGCGCGCGCGCGGTTGCCGAGCGAGCAGAACGTGATACAGTTTTTCTCTCTCTGTCACTGCGAGACGTTCCGATCGCAGACCTTCTGGCGTCTTCTCGGATGTCCAACAGTAGTCCTGCGGTGGATGTCTTTCAGTTTGTCGAAAACGCTGTATCATGATGTTGTTGCGGCAGTGGTTGCTCAGTCTACATCGTCTTAAACGATAACTCTTATGTCAGCCAGATCGATTTGGCAAGATATCGACCGGGGACGATTCCCCCGCGTCGATGCTTCAGCGATTCTACTGCTCAGTGAGCTTCCACCGAAGGAGAAGCGATAAGATGTATCAGTTTTTTCCGCATTTTTGAAAAAAAAAAAATATTTTTTCCGGCTCTTCGCGATCGCCGGTGTCCGTCACTCGAGCAGCTCGCTCCTATCCCCGATGACACCGCAAGACAGGTTTGGGGCCCTTCCGCAGGCTCTCACTTTTCTTCCGGAGGCGAAGAAGGCGGAACTCGTCTTTCCGCGAGGGATAGCTCGGCTCTCTTCCGACACTGAGCTCGAGCTCCGATTTTCACCTCGGAGTCTCGATGTCCGCGTCTGATTATTCCTCAGTCTTAGAGGGTGAGCGAGTTGAGCCAGAAGTCTTTGAGCCCGATTCAATGTGGATTCTGCATTCGTTGCCGCGTTCCTTCGCCCGATTTGTTGACTCTGCGTCGCCGGTCGGCTCTCTCTCTACGAGGGTGGTCGTATGCTATTTTCGACTCGGGGAAAACGGCTCTCTTCTATTTATATAAGACGCGCGGTAAGATAAGCTTCAACACCGTTTGTTGGAACGCGTGGTTGAGAGAAGATGTTGTCGGGACCAGTAACAGCTCCGCGATCATTTTCGCCGGACCCGTCAGTACTCTGTTCTTGAAAGGCGAGCGTGGCAATCGCAACCTCAAATAATCCCAAAGCACTCCAGAAGACTGGACGAGCATGCATGTATACGATTTGCCGGACTGGTGGAGCGATTGCGTATACATCGGAATCCCCGAGCGAAAGCTTCGTTCATCATCGGAAGACGGCAATGTCTCCGCGGTGTTTTCGATTTGAGTTATCTGGATATTTGGGCGTCAGAAGATAAGCTCATCGGACGCGCGTCATCCGAGCTCATTAGATTTTCCTTTCTGTCAGTGGCCGCTTGGGGTTCCAGTGCTTATGGTCATCCTCTGGTCCTTCTGTTGTACACGAGTTGGAATTCCATGTACCCATCCTCGTCAACGATCTCTGGTTTCTGCCGTACGGACTCTTGAAAAATGACTGGAACTCGGCCCGCTAAAACAGTTGTGGCGACCGGTGTCTTTTCTTCATGATTCGAACGCTGTTGCCGCGGCATCGGATGTTCGTGATGCTGCTTGCCGATATCCAATGTCGGCATCGAGGCGACCGACGTAACTCAGTGGAGAACGTAAGAAAGAAAGAAGCATGGGACCGCGACCGACGGGGGGTTATTCGTGCGTCGGCCACCAGGGGCGCTGTTGTTGTTGATGGGTTTGCGACAAACTAAACCTTCGTTCAGAGCTAACAGTAAGGAAATACTCTTAGTTGCTTTAGGAACAAATCAATCCAATGTCTTTTTCGGTGACGAAATCCGCTTCTGACCGCGACGGCGGACACCCGAAGTCCGGGGAAAATATCACCTCGCCATTTAAACTTTGTCGGAGCACTGTTCCAATAATCCAAATGAAAAGCATTCCGATATCCGATTAGGAACGAAAAACGGCGACAACAGTACAATGGAACAGCCACGAATCGTACGTTCCCATGAACTCCACGGAAAGTCGAAAATTTCCAATTCGCGAAAACCTGTGGATGAGGAAGAGTCACGGGGAAGCGGGAAGTTTGAGACGAGATAAAAGACGTTATTTTCTGCTCGATTTTGGACGGGGACACGAATGTTGGAAGTGAAATTTTGGTTGCCTTGCCTACCCGCAGCCGCCGGCTCCTTCTCATAAAATTTTTATTCGCGTTGATTCGAAAACCCGATAAGCCGCAAAATGCCAATGAAACTTTCCATCGGCCACGAACGCTCACGGAGCATAGGAATTGTATACAGCCAGTCGGTTCGAACGACGCCGCCGCCGCCACCACCGTCGTTGGATGACGCTGACGCTACTCCTTCGGGTTGTTTCCTGCGGAACCACTCTTCGGTCGCTCGGCGGTCGTTTCGACAGCGGCCAGCGACGAAATCTGAATGAGATAGGGAGCCGGCAATCTTCGTCTGAGATCTACTCATTTGAGTTCAATCGTCCTCATGGTCTGGGCAATACCCTGCATCGAGTTTCCCTTCAGTATTCAGCGGCATTCGCTCCTTTGTGGGAACGTTGCCGCAACGAAAGACGGACGAGAACTCTGCACTCGCTCGATTGGATTTCAAAAAACACTCTTCGCCGCGCGGTGTCGAGTTCTAGTGAGTTCCTGACAGTACAAGGGAGTCGCTCACAGAATCAATGATCCCGTTGAGCTAGCGTAGAGTCTCTTAACTCACCGGGGTGACAATTCGCGGTCGAGTACCACGAGTCTTCAAGCATTTGAGAGTCCCAGTCGTCAGCTCGGTACTTGTCCAATCGGATTGGAGCGTGAGCTGAAAAAGAAATGCACCCGTTAGCCTACCAAGAGCAATGATTCGAGCCGTATGGATTAGCTCCAAGTTCAGACCCCGGAGCCTGAGGCGTCGGTCAGGATGCCGTCGATGGGAACTCGACCCTTAGTGTATAGGCGGACAGAATTCAGAGAGACTCCTAATCGCCGGGACTCTGTCGCAATGATAAAGGAACGAGTCGTCGACTTCTTGACAAGTCTCCCCATCTCGAGCACGGGGCTTGGAATGACGGAGCTCGATGAGCCTCTTCTGTTCCGCTTGTCACTCCAAGATTCCAAGATTCCCTCGACCGCCTATATTCTGCTCCCTCACGCTGATGGGAGAGACGCGGTCTCGCACCTCAATCATCGACGGAGTCCCTGAAGATTCTTTATCGGTTTTCTTCAGCGAAACCTCATCCTCACTATTCTCAATCCTCTCGAGTCGGTAAATGCGGCGATAATTTGAATGGAGCCGAATACGGACCGAATCCGGAAGAGCTCTTTGGAATGTTTTCGGGAACAAGCTTCGGAGGGTGTTGTCGCCGACATTCTACGTATTTCGCTGACGCCCCCTCGATCGGCTGATTAATTGAAGTACGACGAATTAACGGCGTCGTTGAAACGCGCCATCGCGGTGCAGCAAAGGTCAAACCGCGATGCGAACAACGGCTCGTTGCGGAAGCCCGCCACCGGATAAGCGCGTCTCAGACCGAAGAAGCTGGAGACAATTGGCGTCTGTGCCGAACGAAGTAAGCGCTCAGACACCAGGGCGTTTTCTCGCTAGTGGAAGCCGCGAATTCATTGAGCGAGGTTCAGCTGGGCAACATTATGAATATTGATTTACATCCGTTCAACGTCGACGAACCGAAGTACACAGGAGCGGAAGAAGTTTCAATCATCTCTCGATCTCTGGTGAAATTTTGAGACGAAATTTCTCCGAGCATCATTCAACTGATTGATATCACACTCCGAAGTCTAGTTTCCGAGATTGAGCTGTTCGTCTGGTGACTCTGCTTCGGTTAATCAGAGGAGTTTTGTTCTTGGAGTAATGCGGGATGTTCTTCCGCAGTTTTCGGCATTCTTCTACCCTTTATATCAGCTGTTGGCGAAGCACGCGCGAATCGTCTCCATCGGCTTCCAGAGAAGTCGCGAACAGTCGTCCGAAATTGAGAATCATGTACCACCTTGCTCAGGCCGATACGTGTTCGGATTATTGCGTTCAGGGACATTCCTCTCGATAGCTTCGACGTTTGAGGAAAACGATTCGGAAATTCAGGAAGACTCGAACAAGACTCTGAGGGAGCTCCTCTAGGGTGGAGTATCGTCGATGAATATTTTCGAGGAACTGGCCGCTTGTCCCGCTTTTCTTTTTCTTGTGGGATAGGAGAGGGGAAACGAATTGTTCATCACCTGGGAGGTCGAAAAGGGCATCGACCAGAAATCGATGGTCTGGATGTGAGAGATGGCTCCTAATGAAAACCGAAAGTATGTCTGTGCGTTAAGCCGTCTTGCTCACGCGGAGGTGTGGAAGGTCTGCTCGGGTCATCGTGAATCATTTTCACGCACTATACGAATTAACAGGTGTCGCGGAATCAATTGTTCACACTCTTCTGCCGTAACATTCCATCGTCATCGTTCTCCGATCCAATGATAAATTGAGACAGACGTAGCCAATGAACGATGACCGGTGGAAGACGATGTCCTCTAACGGGACCAGCCTCTTCGGTAGGGAGCAAACGATAAGGAGCATATGAACCGTTCCCATTCCTGTTCGGCTCCGGAAGAGTCGTCGCGTGAATTACCTCCCTCTACTTTCTGCCCCCCTCGTACGCTTCTCGGCAAACGGGCTTGTCTCAACAACGATTCCGGAATCGCCCCCTTACACAATTTCCATTCCGGAAAATTATCCTCCGGCCCCAAGCCACCATTCCAAGCTGCATTGTCTGATCCCTTCATTGCGCTGTCATTCGGTCCACTTTTCGTGAGCGGGATATCGCCCGAAAAGTCGAAGCTTGCATCTTCCGAAACCTTGTACGAAACCAGCGGACGTCTAGCTTTTGATCGGACCGCGTCTTCGTGAAGTTTTAGTACCCGAAATCGTGTCGACGTTACGGGGTATCCAGCGCGAGCTCGCGATTTTTGCCACGGAACCTTCGGCAGCAGATAAAATGAAAAGCACCAGGAGAGGGCCACAGGAATTCGGTTTTGTCAACTTGGGCAACCTTCTCGGCCCCGTTCGAGGAGCCTCGAATAAACTCAAATCTTCCGAACCCCGAAAGAATCGTCCATGACGGGCCTATCGCCATACCGATGAAGAAGGAGAATGCGGGAGCAAGGAATCGGGCAGAAAGTCGACGAGAGATACCGGACAGCTTCAGGCATTTCGAGGCATAAAATTCCGAGCTCAACATAGGTGCGGTGGAACCGCCCATCGGACTAGGACCTCCGCAAGCGAATGACAAGGGATTTGAAGTCACCCATGCATAAATTACAACGACACTTTCGGTCGACACTTACGTGGGTATCCGACTGGTGAAGGGTGGAGTAAATCGACAGAACTGGTCAACCCAATGCCGTTGTAAGCGGCCGCTGTGGCCGCCGGATTTTTAACATGGTACGCCATAGCGTCTGGATTCGCGGAACCGACTCGGCTTCCTGGAGAGTAACGCGCCGTCAGAAACCCGGGGGAAGACATTCTCTCCGAGATATCCTCCCTATGCCTTGAATTAGTACTCACCCCCTTCGTTGGTCGAGGCGAAGCTGTGCTGGGCTTCACCCGGTAGTAATTTCGATGGGAGCTCGAAACCCTCGTCTCGAGAGGAATGTGGCGATGACGAAAACGAGGCGGGTGATACGGCAGGGGGTCCTTTATCGGGGCCCCCGCGTCGAGGGGACGCCGCTCCAAAAGGCACCTCGAATCCCAATGCAGCCACGGCCCCTACCAAATATTGAACGGCTGAGATTCCGGAAGAGTTCCTCCCTTCGGGATGTTGGCGACGGATATTTATGGCTGGGCGAGGAGGTGCTTCCGACTCCTTCCTGGAAATACATAGATCGAATGTGATTTTTTTTCGCCCATCTTCCACCTCGGATCCCAGAATCTCAGACGGACTCTGACCAGAATCTAGGAGAGATACCAGAGGTTCTCGACGCCGGGACGCAGTATCCTTTGTCCGCGTCGACTCAGCGTGGGATCCAGCCAACGGTTTCGAATCGCTCCTCCATCGAGACGCAACCGCTGCTGAACAATACGCAACATCGGATACGATATGCGTCGAATCGATAACGATTGATGTCAGCCTTGTTCAGATGTCGACCGCCATGAGAGAAATTCCAGACGTCAATCTAGATCGTCGTACCGTCGCTTTTCCCCAGAAAAACAATAAAGAATCGACGGCTTGTTTTTCTTTCGTTCGTGATCGGAGCCGCGATCGGGATGAGGAACTTCATCACAGATGCCCTAACGAAGCGTTCATCGGGATCTACATACTTGCTTCTCGGTAATCAGACAGGAAAGCTTTTCGGTTCTTCCCCCCCATTGGGTCTGGAAGAGCTTTATCCTCAATCTCACTGTAAATCCGGACAGGGAACTCAAGCGAGATCGCCGATACCAAACATGGGCCGCGGAAGATATTTGATCCGGGTCCGCGCTGGTTCCGGGTCTTCGTGGGGAGTATAAGCTCCTTGGTCAAGATCAAATGGATACTGCGCTCCCATTCAGGAGATGGTTTTCCCTAGAATCGATTCTCCCCTTATCTATCTTCTTGAACTCCCTGCTTTTTCAAGCGAATGTTCGGATTCGCGGGAGTCGGCATCACCATCGATGGAAATCACATGAACGCCGCCGACTCACGGAGAGACCGAGGGAGGACGATCTCATGAAGTTATTTGAGCGTCAAGGAATACGTCGGACAGACTCGTCGAAGTCGCTGGTTCGATGGCGACAACCTCGACTTCGTCAAGGGCTTACTACCCATGATTCGCCGAATGCCTGACCACTTCGATTGGAACCGGCGACACCTTTCGCGCGAGGCGACGTTATCGAGGGAGCGAGAGGTGAAGGGAAAGTTTTTCGGAACTCTCGATGTGGCTGATGCGCGTAAGCTTTCCGGACAGAGTACGGGAACGATCCGCGGGGTCGTCCCATATAATCTCCTTCCACATGTTTGAATCCGCCTATTCTAAGAGGCTTAATTCGAGCTCCAGAACCCAGCAGCCTTCTATGGGAGCTTACGCTCTCCGATCAAAGAACACAACTTTTAACGAGTTGTGACTTTTCGAGCAGTTTTTTCCCGGCCACATCTGAAGCGGGGAAGAAGCATCGCCTTCATCGCCATTCGGAAAAGAGTCTCGAAGATCGATAGCATCTTTTTGGTGATGTAATGCGCTCTGTTTTACGCGGTTCGCGTTTCTCGACTTTATGGCGGTCGTTTGTTCCGAGTAGATTATCTTCAATTAGCCCGCAAAGTACTGAAAAGATTATCTGCCGCTCCATCGCACTGAACCCGCTTCAAATCACGGCACGGTATTTGCACACTTTCGTAGAGTTGACGGCGGTTGCCACAGAGCGTCCTTTAGGATTTTCTGTAGGACAGGATGACGAACCCGCGACAGAAATCCATCTTGATTGTGTGAAATCATGTCACTTCCTATGAGTTACTCTGACTGTCAGGTCCAGGCCGACAAGGAGGCTCGAGTAAAGGATACATTCCTTGCGGAGGTCGGAAACGCCAACAAGCAACCATCACGCGACCAGTGACTCTCCGCGTGAACCCCATAAGCTCAACTGATCCCATGATCAAACCCAGCACTCTGGTCAGATGAGAACCACCGAAACAAGGAGCGATTCGCTGCTCTCCCACCGGCTTCTCTGGGATCGGGATTTCACTCCGGGCGATTTCCTGCCATCTTACAGAGATCCCGAATCATCTTCAAGGACTGTGAGGGCATTCGAAATTCCAAGATTTGGCGGGACCAGCGGCTGGTCAGCTCTCAGATCTCATTGTTAATATTCCAATGCGGACAAAGGACATGACGTGATCGATGAACTTTCCAACGATAAGCTACGGCTTCGATACCTCGCCGAAGTCGCGGTGTACGGTTCCAGGATCGTTCACAGGGGTTCAGATGTGACAATCGGGAGAATCGTTGACCGAGCAATATCGAATTCCGATCGTCGCTATTCGGGGTATGCGGAAACAGATCAACTGCAGTGTTCATGTATCTTCGGAGGGATCAGCAAGGACCTCGCGGCGTCGAAAGGGCCTATTGGTCTTCCATCGACCGCCCAGCGTGTTTGCAAAAGTCATCGAGCGAACTTTGAGCGAACGGAGGACACCACGGTTTTTCGCCTTTTTCAATAAATCGAAACTCGCGCTCATCGGAGGATCCGTTAGAGAGCTTCCGGAACGGACTCACACCATCTTCGCGTCTAAGCAGAAAATCATCCTTACATCCAGGCTTATTCCAGCGGAACATTATCCGATTCGCACGAGTTTGAGTCAGCAGAACACTGTTACCCAATGGGCAACTTTGTCTATCACTACACCCGCTAATCCGCGCCACCGACGACCGACCGCAACATTTAAGTGAAAATTCGGAAGCGCGCACGCGTCTTTCTTGAGAGCCCTCTCCTTCAGATTTTTTGTTCTTTCCTTCGTTCCAAGAATCTTCTCCTATTTCGATCTTACAGATCGGTCAGTGCGTGTTGTAATGCGAAATCGCAAAGAAAAATTTGGGGAATTCCTTGGAGGAAACAGTGAACTTCCCGGGAAACTGAAGACATCGACTTTTGGCCATGCTTCGAAATTGAAAATCGGAAGAAGAGCATGTCCTTAGATCACGTAGTCATCGAGTGATGATTGACCTTCTTTTCCCGCGCTAGTGGACGACCGTCGCTCTTCCCCATTCGATGCATCCCTCGGCGTGAGCGTGTTTTCCTGGGGAGAATTTCCCCGAGCAGCTCCCACAAGTTCAGGGATTGGCTTTCGGAAACTCATGATTATTGATTACAGAGGCCGAAAGTTGTCTTTGTTCGAATCTCGCGAAGAAAGTCTGCGTCAGTCTCCAATACGGTGTGCTCCAGGACGGCGATCCGACAACTCACGAATACATCTGTTTCATGATTGTAGGATGAATATTTCCATAGCGCTCGAGCGCTGCTTGCACACAGAGCGTAGCCGAGGCCGGATCAGCTTTCAGCACGACCATCGATTCATCGGCCTCCAAACATCGGCGACTTCACCCTGTGTGTCCGACCATGGAGCTGGCCTCGACCCATCGTCGCCAGCTGTGTTTTTTTACATGGCTTGAAAATGGCCGCAACGGAGGATGATCTCGAATCCGAGCATCGACTCTGTCTTTTCTGGTCGGCACCACTCGTCGCGGCTAGGCTACTCGCAGCGCTTCGCATCCACGGAAATTGCTACCTCTCTTACCGACGACTATAACGAGTTGTAATCGCGCCGAGCTTGCCGCCTTGTGAACGTGGATGTCAGCGCAAGGAGCGTCGCATCTCGTATGGCGTGCCTCGAGTTCGAGGCAGTTCCCGGTCTCCGGCTAAACATGCAGACCTTGCCTTGAATTGCGAACCTTTTTCCATTCCGGAACCCGTTCGCACCGGCGATACCCACGACGTCAGAGTTCGTTTGCGCGATCGTACGAGAGAATTCGACGAGCTCTTAATGCTCTTGGCTCGATCCAACACAAATAACATTTTCAATCACAGATTACTCCGCAAGCCGACTTTAACAGACTCGTCTGAAAGTTGCCTCATGTCTCAAGTCCTGCATACGGGAGATATTCCCGAATTCCAACGGCATTCGGGAAAACGAGTCCCAGCCGGTCCGAAGACTGGCCCTTGGCTCCGTACCAGGAGGAAAGACCTCGGCTTGCGGAGTTCGTGCTTCAAATGTACGCTCAAGGCGATGCAAGATTATGCAAGCTGGAAAGCTCATGGATTTCCCCAAGGCAACGCATACAATCGTGGATTGTCGAACTTTGACGCCGTAGCTCTTTCTACTCAGATCGATGCCTCACGATCGGATTAGAAATTTGCTGACAGCATTCAATCATTGCTTCTCAAGACCACCGAGACGCGGGCAGGGCCATCGCTTAGTGTCAGCAGCTAGCGATAGAGGCGGCCTAATTTTCGATAGGATGGAAGGAAACATCCCTCTTCCGACATTTTATTTCGGCGATTCATCGCGAAGCTCAAGCTGCCCAATTTCCCCCAATCATTCTGCTCTCTTGTGAATCGAGAGAATCTCTCACACGAAAATTCTCATTGAGTTGGGCGTGCTCACGCTTCCGATAGTACGAGCATAATGGACGTTCCGAGTCGGCCCGATGAATATTCCACTGTTCGCCATAAGTTGAGTCTTCGATTCGACGTGTGTCACGAGGAGAAGTTGGGGGCTTTTTTTGAGATGGGTCAGTGCGGGCGAGCACTCGCGAAAAAAACTCGGGGTCATTCGATTTCTTCCAGACTCGTTCAAAGGGCGGAATTCTATATTTGCGACAGGGTCGAAGCGGCCTCCATCTAGCTGCTGAATGGAAGGCAATGATCCATCACATGGAGTCTGTTTTCGAATGCTTGTACATACAATGTATGTATGTACATGT